AGTAATAGAGAGAGTTTGCAAAAGGCTATAAAAATAAAAATTAATATGTTTCATTGAAACCAAATATGAATCACTTCTTGATTGAAATATTATTTTTATTTCAAAACGTTCAAAATTTATCGACGAAATGATTGAATTAAAAGGTATTTAATATTGAAGATACAGTCTCTGATTTATACCAGAGGAGCTCTAACGTTATAATCCAGGACCACCTATGACCGCTTATGGTTCGAATAATTATTTTTTACTCGTATCGATTCCTATCCATTCGGAACAGCATCAACTATACTTCTGACATAGAGAAAATGAAACAGCATTTAAATAACATAATCATTCTACATTTTGTTTCTTATCTTGTTTGATGAAACGATCGTTCAAGAACAACAAACATATGGGATAACAAGCTGTTTATATTAAAAAATGATTAAGGAAATCGTTCTTGTTCTATATTCATATCTTTTTGATAAGTAAAAAAGTTAATGAGTATCATATATTTCAAGTTTCAATCTTCAGTAAGAGTTTTTGCCGTGTATATTGATATTATGATTAAAAAATGGTTTATTGAAATAATATGCATTATTTCATCGAATTGTTTCGCTAATTAAAAAGAAATCCCTAGTGCTTTTAGTAAATTTATTTGTTATTAGTTGAAAATCGATTTTAACAATATATGGAAAATAAAATCATAAAATTATGCTGCATAAAAGTGAGCTACAACCATACACAAAAATTAGTGTCCACTTATGAAGAGAAAAAGAGAATGAGGTACATGAAGATTGAATTAAGCATGTAAAACAATCAATAAATAAATATTCGTTTATCTTCGCCGACGACATCATATTGTTTTGCGTTGATGATAGTTTAATCAATCAGTTTTCATTTAACTTAGTTAGGCGTGTGTTTAGCTATCTCTTAGAAAATTAGCTCACGTTCGATTCGTTTTTGCTCACTAATATTTATTTAAAAAGATAAATCAAATATTCAACAAAGTGAGCTGGTAGATAATCACCGTCACTCAAGACTATCATCAATTTTAGTTTCAAATCATATTAAAAAAAAATGTTTAAAATAGTAGAAAACAATCAGCTGTAGATTTTTATGATTGTTATTTATACAGTTCAAACTAAGAGTTTTTTATTGATCGAATCTAAAGTGTTTAATTAAACGTCATTCGACAACCATTCATTAAGATATCTATATTGTTTCTGTTGTGAGCTGAACATTCATCTTTTTACTTCTGACTATTTATTAGTATCAACAAAGAGATAAAGTCATCATATACAAACAATTCTATTCTTCATATTAAAAAAAACGCAAAGTATCACAATTTTTTTCCTTGTATAAAATATAATAAACACGAATACACAACAGATCTATATTTGAAGACAAAATAGATTAAATTTCACTATGAAATGATGTACTTCTTCTTGATGTCGATGTTGTTTGTATACGATTCAATGGTGTTTCTTTTCGTGCATGTTCACTACGAGTTTTAAGTGAATCCTTAAGACTAAAAAACATTGGACCAAATTCAGCAAGCCAATGACCATCAACACATGTTACACATTGCATGTATTCCTTTGAAAGAACAAAATAGAAAAACCAATTAAATAAAACAACATTATTCTTTTAATTTAAAATATACTTTTGTTGTCATAATAAGTTCATGATAAACAATATAATCAAATGTAAATTCACAACGAAATAATGCACTAGTCGGATGTAAATAACATGGCATAGTCGTACGTAAATTAATATATTCTCCAATACTCTTGAAAAGAAAAATAATTATAAAATAAAATCTTAAATATGAATCTATACTTTAAGCTGAGCTGCTTGATGAAAATAAGCAGCACATATACATTTTCGTACAATATCCCAATTGGTACATGATTTAATATCTAATTTTTGTGAACTCATTATATGTTTTAATTGTTGTCGAACTTCTCGAACTTTTCCCATAGCTTTGGCATTAATAAAATGATCAGCACACCAACTATTTGAATATTTACTTTTTATCCATTGAATATAAATATGAAGAAATGTTAAATGATCACTGTCAGCAATTTGAAATTTATCTAATTTAGCATCAGATTCTTGTTCTTTTCCTTTTGGTCGAAAAAATATCAATGGAACAGAAAGCATTGATACAATTATCTTAAAGAAAAGGTTTTAATTAATTAATAACGAAAGAAAAAAAAGATGATAAAAACTTACAAGAATTTCACTACTACAACCCATTCCAACAGAAGTTATCAACATTTTTGATAATGCTGGATCAAGTGGAAATTCAACCATTTGACGACCTAATTGTGTTAATGAACCTGTATTATCAAGTGCACCTAATATCCATAATTGATACATTGAATTCATTAAATTATCCTGTAGAAAAAAAAATGATTTGTATTTTATTTTTAATATAAAAATGATTACTTGTGGTGGTGCATCCATAAAATGAAATTGAAGAAGATCTTGTATACCAAGTGATTTAAGTAATAAAACAACATTAACTAAATTAGTTCGTTGAATTTCAGATACATTTCTTTCGAGCATTTCTTCACGAAAATTCTGTTCAGTATATAGACGAAAACATTGACTAGAAGAAGAAATAAAAAATTAACAAATTAATATCACATAGTTAACAATTTGAAAATGCAATAAATTGAAAGATGATCTTATTTGCTATAGACATCGAACATTTCTATTAGAGATAATGCCTATCATCCATATAGTCGATGATGGCAATAATGGATGCAGTTACATGATAATACAATCTATTTCATGCATTTTTTCGAAGATAATGCATTGTAATGCATTATTTGACAACATAATGCATTAACATGTAATTGCATCTATTATTTCCATCGTCCACTACATGGACAGAAGTATCAATAAACAATACAAATCAATAGTGGTATAACCAGAACTTTCACAATGGAGAAATCGAGCTAGACAATTCTTGTCCAGGGAGAAGAGCGGTTGAACATGTGAAAATTGTAACAGGCACAATTCGATTCGATAGGAGACTCAAAGTTTCGATAAGAACGGAGGAATTTAAGCTTGTCTTGTTTACATGACTACGAATAATCGTCTTGATTGATTGGATATAAAATGTAGATGACATTGTAGAATTATAACAATTAAGAATATTAGACAAATGTTGGATAATGAAATGAAGTGTATTAAGGGTACTGTTTCTCCTCTTTTTTGACCATTTTTCACTCTCGAAGAGGGGTACAATCAATCTGCCTGAAATTTTTTATCATAGATAAAGTACCTAAAATAAAACGACACGTGTTCGAGAAAAAAACATTGTAAAAAAGGTTTTCACTTTTTTTTCCATAGGATCTCTCACAAGAGGTGAAAACGGCTGTTTTCGTTTTTGAACTTCCTATTCGAATTTATAGAGTTCTGAACGGAAATGCCCCGGTTTTGGATCCAAACTTTCATGTATTTTTCTCAAAAGGAAAAAAGAATGAGATTTTTGACAAAGTGCACAACTATCTCTGTGATGTAGGCTCAGATGTCTTCAAAAAGTGTTCCATTTAATCGAAAAAAGTCAGATAGGAGTTATAATGTGTCTAGGTGCGATTCTATGGGAAATCAGAATTTTCGCGCAAAAAAAAACCGGAAAAATCTTGTTTACAAGTTTGTCCTCGAGCACTTATCCCGTTCTTTTAGCTATTCTATCTGCAGTAAAAATGTCCGACAGATCAGTTGCACTGTCTTCGAGAACTAGAAATGGCCAAAAAAAGAGTGGAGAGGGTACCCTTAAACGAGATCTTTAATCGGTTGGGATTGCAGATCTCTGATCTTAATAGAAGATATATATAGCCAACAAACAATTAAGGAGATAAGATCATCTTTAATTCTTGTAATAGAAAGCTTACCCTGGCCCTATTCGACCAGCTTGACCCATTCGTTGATTCGCATTTGCTTGACTAACTGGATAGATTTGTAAAGTATCCATACCAATACGTGGATTATATACTTTTAATTTACAATAACCCGAATCCACAACATACATAATACCATCGACTAGAAAAATTTCAATGATTTACTTTTCCAAAAATTTAAAAAATTTATTTTATACCTGTTAGTGATGTTTCAGCAATATTTGTGGCAACAACACATTTTCGAATACCATCATCAACTTTTTGAAAAATTTTTGCTAGTAAATCACTTGATAATTGAGAATAGATTGGTAAAATACTTAATGGATTAACACCTTCAAGATCATTTAAACCTTCTGAAAAGCAAACTTGTTATTAGAATACAGAATAAAAATTTCATTATACAAACCTTTGATTAATTCACATGTTACTTCAATATCTTCTTGATCAGGCATAAAAACCAGAATATCACCTAGAAAAAGACGAAAATAAGATCATTATTAATTGATTAAAAAAAAATGAACTAACCATCATCAGCATTCAAATGTATTTGAATAGATTGTTTAACAGCAGCATCAACATAATCTTCAACACAAGCTTTATTAAAGAATACTTCAACTGGAAATGTTCCTCCTGGTATAATAAAAATGGGTACATTGCCAAAAAAATCACTAAATCTCTTTGAATCCATTGCTGTTGATATGACAATTAATTTTAAATCTTGACGACGTGAAACAACTTCACGTAAAAGACTTTTTAATAACAAAGAAACAAAAAAAATAATTTAAAATATATTATAAAAACAAAAAAAAATATATTCTTACCCAAAAAGAACATCTGTATTTAAACTACGTTCATGCGCTTCGTCCATGATAACAGCTGAATAATGATCAAGATCAGGATCTGTCAAACTTTCACGTAATAAAATACCATCTGTCATATATTTAATAAGTGTTTTCTAATTGAAAATAAAAAAAAAACTGTTAAAGCAAGAAATTCGAAATATATGATAATAAAATTTACATCTGATGTACAATCTTCAAATCGAATAGCATATCCAACTTCATCGCCGAGTTTACATTGCATTTCTTCAGATACACGTTTAGCAACAGACATAGCTACAACAGGATATGGTTGTGTACATCCAATCATACCACGTTTTGTATAACCAGATTCATGAAGATACTATACAAACATAGAAAACGCTATATTGTATATTCTACATTTCAAAAAATTTCATAAAATAGAGTATCTATCCATAATCACAAGACAAATAGAATATTTACAAGCAAGTTTAAGTCTATTTAGGACTAGTTTTTGAAAAGATACTTTATCAATTAAAATAAATAATTGCAAAGTTATACTAAACTTTAGATACATGTCAAAGTCAAAAATGGAATTAGATGAATTGCTTATTTTACTCGAATGCTATAAGAATTAGTCGAAAAATAAATTGAATCCTCTGATCAGTATTCGAGTTTGAATGAATAAGAAGAATTTTCATTTCACAAGCTTTCGTTTGCATCAAATATCTATATTGATTAGTCAAGGTGATGAAAACATATATATATATATCAAATCTAAATTGTTCTAGTTGAAACTGAATTCAATTCGAAAAAGTTTCATATCAAAAATAAGTTTAAGTTTGATACATGTCCAAGAATTATTTACAATATAGACTATTGGAAAGCGTCATGGAGTCATAGTTTTCATGATCTTATAAGAGCGAAAGTAATGAAAAAAAATCTGTTGTATTCTTTAGAAATAATTGTTTACGTAATTTTATGGAAACTCACTATTACTGCTTCAATCTTAAGTAAGATTCATTCAATGATAATTTTAACTCATACAAAAATGTGAGTAAAAAGATTTACTGTTCGAAAATTTCTTTATAATTTGATCTCATAATTTTGAAAAGTTTTAATGAAAATGAATGCTTTCTTCGTCCTTAGAAGTAAATCCAAACAATATGTCAAAACTCTATAGAAAAAAAAAACATCTGGTTTTAACTCTTTTTCAAATTAGTCTAATACAAAATTCTTTTTATATAATGAAAATATAAGTTCAGAAAAAAAAATTTCTTTTCTTGTTGTTTTTTTTTAAAACTTACTTGAGTCATTTGTGTTGTTTTACCTGATC